AACTTAGATGTTTCTGGAAGGAAAAGCAGAGAGAAGGCAGAGGTTCTCAACATACTGTCCTGCATGAGATGCACACCCTGGGTTACATATAAACCCCAAACTAGGAGTTTTCAGAGTACGTGATAAAATTTTAACAAAGCGATACTGTTATTTGACCAAAGTAGCATCTTTTTCACAGATGTCTTTATTACTCTCTGCAGGAAAATAGGATTATTGCAAAACTTCCTGATAACTATTCCTGGCCGAGAGCTCTTTCTCCCCATCAAGATAAAACCTGTTTTCTAACAACTGTACTTGCCAAATACTAACATGTTAAAGGTACAAGACAAATAATATTCTAGTTATCAAATTCACAAATATACATGAGTTGAATAAATTAATCTTTCACACTACTGCAGCATTCTGGAAGAAATGTTTCTAACTACAGTACAAAACAACAGTGCCTATTTTTATTATAAAGTTCAATTTTATACTAAGGCAGAAATGTAATGCTACAAAGAAATTATGATACCTTTTCTTTAAATATAACCTATAAAGGAATAATTTTGTCATCACCTATGCTTATATGATTTCTTTCTTTTTTTAATTTGATTTTTCGAGACAGGATTTCTCCGTGTAGCAGTCCTAGTTGTCCTGCAACTAACTTTAGTACACCAAGCTGGCCTCGAACCCACAGAGATCTGCCTGCCTCTGCCTCCTGAGTACTGGGATTAAAGGCGTGACCTTATATGATTTCTATAAAAATTCTAAACATAAATTGAGAATTTTTGAGATGGAAATAAAGTATTTTAAATAATGCTCAAAATTAGCTCCTGTTGGCAAGGCAGGTAGCTCTGGCCTAATACTATCACATATACAAAAGGGTCCAGTTTCTTGAGCACCAAAGTCAGTGAGATGACATTTTGGGCAAATGGGAACATTCAGGAATTTGTTTTTTTTTTGTTTTGTTTTTGTTTTTTTTGTTTGTTTGTTTGTTTTTCAAAACAGGGTTTACTCTGTAGCTTTGGATTCTGTCCTGGAACTAGCTCTTGTAGACCAGGCTGGCCTTGAACTCACAAAAATCCGCCTGCCTTTGCTTCCCAAATCCTGGGATTAAAGGTATGCACCACCACTGCCCAGGTAACATTCAGGAGCTTCTTACAACAAGCATGTGGCTTCAAAGCACCCACCTTCCTTCTGTCTCTACTTTCATCTCCAAATAGCTTTTACTTCCGGCACAAATCGCTTTAGCTTTCGGTTTTATCGCCTAAATATACAACTTAACAGAAGAAAATACACTTAGAGAATGTTTCTGCAGGAGTTTAAGATGACATCCAATCTGTATGTCCCTAGGTGTTTAACGGGGAAGCCTCTGAAGCAGTTGGTATTGATTACTTCAGGTTGGAATGCTCAGCCAATGTGGTTTTACTTTACAACTAGAAACGGTCTTCCTCGTGCATTCTGATAACCTGCCCTTCACAGAGACCTATACAAACATTTCTATTTCTCTATTATAAAAAAATCAACCATCAGAGCACAACACCAGAAGCCCCGGTGGTCTTAAAGTCCATATGACTCACATAGGTGACTTGGACTGCTCAAATATGTGTCTGAAACTTTAACAAAACAAAACAAAAACTTGGGTATTTTGTTTATTTGTGGTTTTTTTTTCTTTTATGTTAAAGAAATTTAGCAGTAAAAGCCTAGTTCTTTTCATTGAAGAGAAATCTTTACACATACTCATGTGTAAATTGGTTAGATTGCTTTAGGAGAAATTTTTTAAGTAGAAGATTTAGCAAACTGTATTAAAAAGCAAAATACATCTGAGCATTCCATCCTGCCGTTGGGAGTTTTATGCTCTAGTTACTTGGGATGGCTCGTTGAATGCACTTCCATAAACCTGTGCAGTTCTCATTCGTAATACTTGTACTACTTTTAATGACATTATAAATATTTTTATTTTACAAGGTTAGTTTTAATTATGTGTACGTGCGTGTGTCTGGTGAGGCATGTATATTAGAGAAGTTGGATCCCCTGAAGCTGGTTATAGATCTTTGTGAACAACCAGGTCTTCGCGTTGGGAATTAAACTCTGGTCCTGTATGCATAAGATCAGCACTCTTAATCTCTGAGTTATCTCTCCAGTCTCAGATACTAATCATCTTGGCCATATACAAAATCTTACTTGGACAGGATGTATATGTTGCAACTTCCTGTAAAACACAATGGGATGCTACTTATTTATGTGAATTTATGTCATATTCATTGTTTTAGTCTAAGGAAAGCATGGTTTTACAAAATAAGAAGTCATGGCTGAGACAAATAATGGATTCTGATTTTACGTTGGTATTTGTTTTTCTATTCTGAAAAATTAAGTTGCTATTAAAAAGCACACTAGGCTTCACTTCAAATAAAAATTAGCAGCATGGTGCTTTCTCACAAATCAAAAGCAACAGACCCAGTCACTTCACTAGATAGAATTCTAGGTGCAACATGATTCTAATTATCTGCACCTTTTAGTGCTTTCAAAGTCCTGAAACCAGCACACCGCAAACTCGACCTCCAACCTGGAAGTAACATCTTTTCACTCAAGTATTCATTCTACTCAGCCAAGTGTTTAGCATGTGTCAAAGACTGCACTGTATTCTCTAGGTTAATAAACACACGGGTTTTGTTTTCTTGGAATTAAGGGAAAAGAATAAAAAATAAGAAGTAAACACATGGCAAATACGACAGAGGATGTGATGATGGAAAATGACAAGTAACGAAAGAAGCTATGGAATAACACAGCGCCACGTCAGGGAAATGTGGAAACAGCTTCTGTGAGTGACTCTAAGGGCGAGCAGAGCCTCGCGGGATAAATGGAGACTTGAGGAAGAACATGTATGGAGACATTTCTGACACGGTGCACAACACTAAAATGACTGACAGGTGAGCAGCCACGTGACCTGGGTCAGAGGAATACAAGTAGCAGTGAAGAGCAGCTCTTGAGGACAGAAGCAAAGAGAGACGGGAGCCGAGAGTGAGGGATTACGGTGGGCCTGGCAAATCACGTCTTAATGAAGGGAACGATAAAAGCAGTCAGCTTGCAGTCTTTGTAGATGAGAAGACATGCTTTTCTGGGTATTCCAATAGTCAAACACGAGCCAATCAGTACACTGGAAAGATGCTGGCCCGGACTCAACAATACAGGGCTACTGAGAAGAGTTTATGTCACTACATAATGTTGCAAGTATGTTGGAAAGAACTAATCATAGATGTGGGACAGCAGCTATTAGATCCATGTTTTATGGTCCTAGTGAGAGATAAATGTGGGCTACACCAGAGTGAAGACATAATAGGGGTTCCGGAGATACTTGGAAGTTAAGTTTATTAGTGGAACTGTTGATTAAACTTTTCGTTAAAAGAATACTTGGCTTGACCAAACAGATGACGGTGTGACAATAAAAACAGAGGGAAATGGGGGAGAATGAGATTGACTTAGTTGCTTCTCAGGCAGTCATAGGCATACTGACTGACTTTCTAGGAGGAAGCTGAGTCACAGCTTTAAGTATGGATTATGGAAATCAGGAGAGATTTGGAATGAATCACTGTGAAAAGCAAACACAATAGATGGAAGACCATGAGTGTGCAGCTGGATAAGAGAGGTCTTTAGACAAATGTTAACTGGTTCCCAACTATCTTAAATTGCCATGATTCCACTGTCATTGTGCATCAAGATGCCTTCGCTGCTCTTCCCAGTTAGTGTGATGGTATCCTTTCTGTTGTCCATACTTTAGTTTCTTCTCTTCCGCATCTATCCCATGGTTACCCAGCATGTTTTTATAAAAAGCACATGTCTAATGTTGTCATTCTCCAACTTCAAGGTCGTTCACTGAGCCCCACTGGTTTTAGAATAAGATTATCATATTCATGACTATCCTGTAATTTACCCCTTAGAATCTCCTACTATAATATCTTCTGACCATTTTGTATGACCAATGTTCTAGACTCTCTTCAATTCTTAAGGATCACCTAGTCCCCTCTGTTCTAGTGATTTCACATATAACTTTTAGTTAGACTTAAAGATTGGTTTTTAACTGGAAAGACCAGTAATAATTGAGGGAGTAGTCTTACTTCCTACCATCAATGAGATTATCCTAAAATAGCTGATACTGTTGATCAGCTAAAGTGTGTATTCAATTAAACCATCAATTTGATACAATTTTACATCAAGCAAATCAAATCCCAGTTTAAATTTTTGATTGTACCACTGAAAGTGATTATTTAACTTAGTTTTTTGAGAGCATATTTTTGCTACATTTCTAAAGCCAGAGGCTTTAAATATTTTAAAGTGCTTGGTCAGTAAATGAAAATGGTTATTCTCTCTCTCTCTCTTTCTCTCTCTCTATCCAGGTTGTGTGTGTATATGTGTGTGTGCAAGTGTGTGTACATATGACAGCCAGAGGTCAACCTCAGGTATAATACCTCTGAAGCCACCTACTGTGTTACTAGAGACAGTGTCTCTCACAGAGACCTGGGACTTACTGGTTAGCCTGGCTGGCTATTGAGCCTATTTCTCCCTCCTTAGCACAGGCATTATAAACCCCTATCACTGGTACTGGAGACTAAACTCAGAAATTGTACTTCCAAATTAAGTGTAACAACTGAGTTATCCTTCTGGTGTCCGATGATGGGATTAAGTTCACCACAAACGCGGGTTTAAATAAGTGTATACGCAATGCAGGTAGACATACATGTCCTATATGCAGCATATATGCATATGATTGTACTGTCATGCATATTGTTTTCTTGACAAGACTTTTCTATATGAGCAGAGTTTATAATGCATGAATTTCTTTCCTTGTGAAACTGTAGCACCAAAACCACAAGCTGATCGATACATTTACTTCATTTTTCCAAATAAAACGTAAGAACCATTCTACAGGAAGTAAGTCACTGTAATGGGATCAGAGGTATATGCTCCTATTCCCTTTATTACTTAGAGGGCTCTAAAGGAGAACTGAGGTGTGAAATACCTACCGTCTTGCTGAGGTAACCTGTGCTGGTGTTCATGCATTGCAGCCCCTCGCTGTTGCAGCAGCCCCCACATCTGTAGACGGACACACATGGAGGTTTAAAGAAGGTGTTTGTGGCTGCTCCAAACTCCTTCCCCACATCTATACACACCTCACGTGGCATGCATTGAGTCTTTCTCCACTCATTATCAATACCTGTCGAGTCATAGGGAAGTCCATAAGTTACACAGAAGCCACCAAGGGAGAAACAAAGCCTACAGCATTGGGAACTTACTCATATTTGACTTCAGATTTTAATATTTTGTGTAGGAATCGGAACGTAAGACAAGATTTAGCAGAATAGTTGGGGAAGTTTCCTTTTAAAATGATTTTTTTTCAGGGAGGTAACAAAAATAGATTTAAATTAAGGATTTAAAAAATTACACCACTATCATAACACATATGTTTGGTTCTCCTTGCTTAAAAAAAAGGGAAATTTAATATATGGAGGCTTACAAGTTGTGCAGAAACTACGCCACGCTCTTTGCCTGGCATGTGCAACTTCTGTGGTCATGAAGCAAATGTAAACAACATGTTCCTGTTTTTCTCCTTAAACTGAGATGCAAACGAAAAAAAACTATGGTTTTGGTGTCTATTCAAAGCTCATTTTCAGACAAGCTTTCCAGCAATTATGAACAATGTCATGACAGTAGCAATGTGCAAGCAAAGTTATTTTCTACCTATTACAACGTGTAACCTAAACTGACTCTTCTCAGGAAAATCAAAGTTCTTATCCCCTTCATGCTTTCTTTTGGACCTCTGCTTCCAATAAGATGTTGGCTGACCTGTGACATTATTGACTCTGTATTATATTAAAAATGATGCCGTTTCTGAGTGTTGTAGTTTATTTCTTCCATATTTCCTCTAAACATTTTCAAGAATAATATATTATGGGTTATCCCACTGATTCCCGTTAATTTGTTTGGTTTTGCTTTAAACATACTTTGCAGTATCAATTTGTATGTGTGTGGTGAGGTGCATGCCATTCACAGGCTAGAGGGAGATGCTGAGACCTCTTCCATTCTCTACCTTATTATCTTGAGATAGGCTTCCTCAGTGAACCAGAAACTCTGTTTAGGCTTGGCTGGCTGGCCTCTTAGTTCACAGGACTTCCCATTGTCTGTTCTCTGCAATGCTGAGGTTTTAGGCACTCCTAACTATGCATATTTTACATAAGTGCTGGGCATTGAAATTCAGGTCTTCATGCTTGTAAAGCCAACTTTCTTACTCCCTGAGTTATCTCCCTGACCCCAATACCAAATGTTAAAACAGAGTAATATTTAAAACTAAAGAAAGCTTTTTCTTAATTGGTCTGCCAACTCCTATTATGTCATTTTATACAACATCATAATTTTGTAAGATATTATGGTAGATATTCATCTACTTCATAAAGGGAAACTCTGAGTCAGTTATTTCTGAGATGATAAGAGAACATGTAGCTTTCGGAAGGTGATGTGGATTAGTAACTACTTCCCTTTCACTGTTTTTAAGTGTTTGTGTGTGTGCGTGTATGTGCGTGTGTGTGTGTGTGTGTGTGTGCGTCTGTCTGCCTGCCTGTCTGTGAAAATAGTGCCCAGAGTGTTATGTACCTTATGCACAATGGATAAACATTCTAATGTTTTAGCAGAAAAGTTAAATTAAGCATATCCCCCCAAAAGGAAATGCATGCACTGCTTTTTCCTAATATACAAGTTTTCTTGAAATATAAACATTTAAACTAACCTAAGTTACTAAAACAAATTAAAACAGTATAGAAAATTTAAGTATTTTCAAATGTTTGCAGTGAAATATTGTCTCAATTCCCAAAATAAATATTTGTTGATATGTATATGCCTTCTAGCTGTGAATTTCAAGAAATCATCTAACTACGTAAAAAGGATTGCCAAAGTGTTTTATTCAAAGTAATTCCACTAATTTCTATTTCCTAATTTTTTTTTGGGGGGGGGGCTTAAAGTATATTGAGCTGGAAGCAAAGGCCCACACCATCATCATCACTGATGAACGCACAAAGCTCTTCTTGCACTTTGCTGCCCGTACTTACTTTTCAGGATCTCTGTGTTATAGTGTGCAGCAGCAAATTTGACAGTGTCCCCTGTCCTTGTGTTGAGGGCAGGCTGCTGCCAGCCACCTTTCCTCAGCTGGCACTTGTACATTTTCCAGTAGTCTGGGTACAGGACCGACATGAGCTCATCTACACTGGATACTGCCCGAAGCTGCTCCTCCAGGTCTTTGCCTGCGAAAGCCTGTCAAGGAAAAGCACACAATCAAGACTGCACCAGGCTGAAAGTTTAGGAAGACAAATTCAAAACACTTATGTCTTAATATGACAGACACAGAATCTGCTAATAAACATCTTATCAACAAATATTGACTTGTTTAAATTTTTATGGTAAAACAGGGTTCATATTAATATTTTGTTCTCTGAATAAGCACAATTAAACTGTATTTGGTTTTAAGACAAATATTGGGCATATGATTTTTAAAATGATTTTAATTTTTTGTTGTATAACAGCTCTTTTGCATATTGACAAATGTGTTGGCTTACAAACTTATTCACGGTCTTGAAGATCATGATGGAGAAATCTATACATAAAGCTCGTGGAAACTTATGAACATTAGACCGATAGTGGTGGAGCCCCCATGGGACCGAACTCAGCCCTTCTTATATGGGAAATAGTGATGAAGTTTGGACTATATGTGAGGTACCTGGCAATAGGACCAGGATTCATCCCTGGTGCATGAGCTAGCTTATTGGTGCCCATTACCTATGGTGGGATGCCAGGCTCAGCCTTAATGCAGTGAGGAGGGTGTTGGTCCTGCCTCAACTTAATGTGCCAGACTTTGTTGACTTCATAAAAGTCCTTATCCCTTAGGAGGAATGGATGGGGGATGGACAGGGGTAGAGGTGGAGGGAAAGATAGAGTAAGGGAGAGAACTGTGAATGGAATGTAAAATGAAATTTAAAAAATAAAGTAAAATAAATAATTACCACATATATATTGCCCATCTACCATATATAAACAAAATGAGATAACTTTCTTCTAAAGTTATACACCAGCATCTATACAACTAGTCTTTAAACATGTAGTCTTTAAAATATGTACATATTAATTTTAATTGAAACATAATTACATAACAGGCTTTAAAAGTTGGATTGAAGGCTGTCAAAGCTCCCGGCTTGATTCTCAGCACTAAGAAAAAGGGCAAAGGCTGGACCGGTTATGGCAGCATGACATAAATACATAAAGTTGAACTTTAGAGGACATCTTAGCATCACTCAGTGACACAATTTCATAACTTCCCAGTTTGTATACATGGTATATTTGCTTGAGGAAAACCTCAGATATGACACAAAACTCAGGAATCAAAAGTTTGGAGATATAAAATGTTTACTGAGGGAGACAACAGTTATGTAGGCAAAGTGACTGAATGAAGCTCATTCTATGAGATGACATCTGTGCATATGACATTCTGAGCATATCAAAATACCATGAGCATGCATGTCAAGACATAATGCATATATATATATATATATATATATATATTGCCAATCAATCCTAGTAAAGCTAGAGAATAAAATAGTAATCAGATATATTTTTAAAAACTGCCAAGTGCAATAAAATTTCATAATGCTTCTGTTAGTATCTAATTGTTAGCCTCTAGAAAATGAGTAACAGGGGGGACTGATTGTGACAGGAAGGTTGCTAGAGCCTTCCCTTACAACTCTGCAAAGACTACAGCCAACTTCTGACCTTATCAAATCACAGAGAAATGCAGAATAGGTCATGTGTTCACTGAACCAAGAAGAGCACCATCAGGATACTTCTACCATCCATGGGAGACATGTACAGAATATTAGATGGACAATAAGTATATATATATTGGATGATAACAATAAGAAAGGAAAAATAATTCTTTTGAGTACCAGTAGGAGCATATATTTGTGTTAGTCAAGGAAAATACTGCATTACAAGCTGATGGGACTTTACACAAGGTTCACAAAGACAGTAGATTTACTGTGAAATCACCTTTTCCATATGTGTCTGTTCTGCCAAAGTATACATGCAAACTCATTGTAAATCTGTCCATATATGAATGTGAAAAAGTGCTATATAGAAAATAAAGAATTGATCAAACAAGTTGCAATAAACAACAGAAATTACAGAATGTAATATAATCACATTACAAAATGATGAGAGAGCTGTACGATTTAAACATGGAAAAGGTACACAATATGTACATTAACACACATAATGATAAGATATATACTTCTTGAAAAAATATACATATTGGATAAATATATACTGTCTTGAGTTAAAGAGACACAGCAAGCCTAGTTATGTTCTACAAATTATAGGGTGAATTTTGTTATTTATTTATTTATTTATTAAAGATTTCTGCCTCCTCCCCTCCGCCTCCCATTTCCCTCCCCCTCCCCCAATCAAGTCCCCCTCCCTCGTCACCCCGAAGAGCAATGAGTTTTAGTAATGTACAGACATAACTCTTAATAATCAGATAAAACTATCATCTATAAGTACATTGTAGGTTCTCAGATTAGCTCTTATAATTTCATAGAATGTGCCTTTGCTATAGTATTTAAATTGTAAGAATCACTGAAAGGGGCAGAGGTTATTACAAACAAATGGAATGAAAGTGGATTACAGGTTGAGCTATCCAGTCCCTTTACCCACCAGATGTTCATTACTGTAATACATTTGTATGAATGACAGCCCTTATCATCGAAAGACCCAGATGATCTCCATCTTGGATTGAAAGATCCTATTATGTTGCCTAATATTAAACTTCATAGCGTTATCTTACTTTGTGAAATGACAATCATGTCTATTCATGGAGTTTTTATGATGGTTCAAAGAAACCACTTAAAAGCATAATGTAACTGCCACAGACAGCAGAGGAACTGTCATTTGCTCGTCTTTAGTTAAAGTGAAGCTTTTATGCTGCTGTGAACACAGGTGTGGTGTGGAATTTCTTATATGACCCCTGCGTTTTTATAATAAGGGACTAGCAAGCTAGTAACTGAGCACTGTTGGCTATGAAGTGGCAGGTGCTCTGTTAGTATTTCAAGGAATAGTGATAGAGTGTCCAGAAGACTTAAGATTGTATTTGACCATCTGATTGTGGAACATTCAATTTGTAATCTATTTTTGAAGATGTGAAGAGGCCTCACCAACCTAGAATGAATTCTCAACTGAGCAAGCAACACGCAAAATCCCTTCAAAGGGAAGAGTTAATTACATGAGAGTCAGGTTAGTTTTAACATACCCTTGAATATTTATTTCACTAATGTTGTCTAGAACACTTAGCTTATTTGCTTGAATATGTGTTGTTTTTGTTTTCCAGAAATCCCACACAGTTTAAAAGTGACAGTATCTTAAAAACATATACATAACTTGAAGTAAAGCCTCATGCAATCTAAAACTGAATGTAATTTTGCATGTCAATGTGGGTAGATCACCTAGGAGATATTAGCAGTAGTCCTTGCATAACTGTTAGCATCTCTCTATTAGCAAAGAACAACCTCAAAGACATTGAGGGAAGCACATAAAGGTGGAACAAATGTCAGAGATAAGGTAGCGACATGATGAGCAGAGAACAAGAGAAGCAATCGTCTCGGTGTCAACGTTATTCGGACAACAATGCCGATCTATACTCCTTGGAATCACACGAGAAAGAGCCTTTCACCTGCACTCTGTGTTTCTTCTCTGTTGTGAAGAAGCCGTAAGAGAAGCTGAGAAAGTGGGTTCCCATGTGTGACCGACAACCTTGTCACTCACTAGTGTTCCTTCAGGTGCCTTGGCTTGATTAAAGTTTGCTCAGGTGACTGGCAGGGAGAAGACATGATTGCATGTAGGCATTTCAATTTGAAAAAGCCCAGGGGATTATAATAAATAGTAAGTGTGAAAAACATGCTGAACTTGCTATGACTAAAAATTTGTTTTTAACAGTCTGTAAACAAATGTCAAGCATTTGTTCAAACTGCTATCGAGTATATAGCATGCATGTATAAACTGGATCTTTATTAATAACTGGATGGGGTTGAAACTCATAGGTAAATCCATATATTGCAATTATGAAAGCTTTTTCCCTTAAATTTACACAGTTACCAAGTGATAATAATCAGAAGTGATAGTGGTTTATCATTCTGTTCTTTTTTTATGAGAGCCCAAAGGTTCATATATAAATATGGTTGCTTACCCAATATATTTGTATTTTAGAAGTGGGTAAAGAAGATGACAGCAATACATAAGCTTAAATACTAAATGTTTGTATTTTAAGTTAGCCATGCATTATCTTTAATGGTGTATTATAAGCAGTAATTTGTATTATCTTACACAATTTATAAGATAGCAGATTGCATCTTATAATTCTAGGTCAAGGTATCAGTTCAATAAGAATAGAGTTTGACTAAACTACAGATTAGAAAACATTTTTCATATTACTTGTTATACACATCACTTCTCTGTCTTAAGAAATCAGATTATTAGTAGATGTCACCTACCACAGTAATCAAAGTCAGTAACTGACACAATTGCTTGCATTACTTTCTATTAAATAGGTTCAAATTAAATTATTAAATTAAATGAGTATTGAATTTACTCATCCACTAAGATAGCAAAAAATAAATATAAAACAAAGATGTGTTTTATTTTTGCTATTTTGTACTACTTAACAATGGCATTTTCATAACACATGGAATTTTCTCTTGGGCGAATGTCTAAAAATTTAAAATCACATCCTAATTATTTAAGACACACACACCACAGAAAAGTGAGATTTAACATGCAATTTTAAAAATCACCTTTTAAATCTTTCTCTCTTATAATCCATAACTATAAAAGGAAACTCAAACATCACCCTAATGAAAGAAATTTTGTAAATATTTTTCCAAAGTCTTATCAAGTCCTTTCACCTAATGTTCTAAAGAAAGGGAAGAGTTGGGCTTATTTCACCCTCCGGCCACCTGCCAACCAGGTCTACACAAGTCTGAAACCACAAAAGCCCAAAGATGGAAAAGGTTATTTCAATTTTAGTTTAGTGTTCAAAGCTTCCTCTGGGAGGTTTAAATTTCTAAGTTTTATCTGAAATGTTGCATTGTAAATGTTGTAAATATTTCTCTCATAAAGAAGAGATGCTTTTAACACCTATTATTTTTAAACAGGCTACATTTTAGTTTGTTACATAGAGATATCAAAATTAAAATAGTGGATTATTTTCCTAATGG